AAAAAAAAAAAAAAAAAAAAGGAAAACCAGCATGGTGGCCAGATGTGGTGACGCACGCCTGTAATTCCAACACTCAGGAGGCTGAGGCAGGATTGTTGTGAGTTTGAGACTAGCCTGGGCTGCAAAGTGAGCTCAAGGCCAGCCTGAACTACACAGCCAGACCCTGTTCTCAAAGACTTAAAAATAAAAAAAGCAGCGTGGTACTGGCAAAAACAACAGACCTGAGGATCAGTGGAACAAATTAGAAGATACAGAAACAAGCCGGGTGTGGTGGCGCATGCCTGTAATCCCAGCACTCGGGAGGCTGAGGCAGGAGGATCCTTGTGAGTTCTAGACCAGCCTGGGCTACAAAGTGAGCTCAAGGCCAGCCTGAACTGCATAGCAGGACCCTGTCTCAAAAAGACAAAAAAAACAAAAACAAAAAACAAAAAACAAAGAAGATGCAGAAACAACTACAAACACACTCAGCCATCTTATCTTTAACAAAGGAGCCAAACACTTTCACTGGAAGAAAGATAGCCTCTTTAATAAACTGTGCTGGAAAAACTGGCTTTCCACACGCCGATGATTGAAATTAGACCCATGTCTCTCACCATGCACTAAACTAAAATCAAAATGGATCAAAGATCTAAATATTAAAATAGAAACACTAAATCTGCTAGAAGGATAGGCAGAACTCTTGAAGACACTGGTATAGGCAAAGACTTTATAAACAAAACCCTGATCAAACAGGAAACAAATGGGATCTCATTTTTTCTTTCTTTTTCTTTCTTTCTCTCTCTCCTCTCTCTCTCTCTCTCTCTCTCTCCTCTCTCTCTCTCTCCCTCCCCCCCACCCCGTCTTTTTGAGCTAGGGTCTCACTCTGCAGTTCAGGCTGGCCTTGAGCTCACTTTGTAGCCCAGGATGGCCTTGAATTCACAAAGATCCTCCTGCCTCAGCCTCCTGAGTGCTGGGACTACAGGCATGCGCCACCATGCCCAGCCTTAAAAAGCTTTTGCAGAGCAAAAGAAATCACCAACAGAGTGAAGAGACAACCCACAGAGCAAAAAACACTTTTTGCCAGGTGTTTCTCAGACAAAGCACTACTATCTAGAATAAGTAAAGAACTCAAAAAAATGAAGTTCCTCCCAAATTTTAAGACCCAATCCAAAAATGAGCATCTGAAATGAGTTAGACACTGCTCAGGGAAGTACAAATGCCAAATAAATATATGAAAAGACATTTAACATCACTGATCATTCAAGAGATGCAAATGAAAACAATGCTGAAATTCCATCTCACTCCAGAAAGAATGGCTATTATTAAGAAGAAAACCTAAAAATAAAAAAAAATAAAATAAATCAGAAAAGAGGAGGCTGGGGATTTAGCTGAGTGGCACAGCGCCTGCCTGCCAAGTGCAAGATCATGAGCTTGATTCCCGATACCAGAAAAAAAAACAACAAAAAAAAAAAAGAAAAAAAGAAACAACCTACAGGGGCCAGGGAGATAGGTCAGTGGTACAGCACCTGCTCGACAAGAGCAAGGTCCTGAATTCAAGTCCCCATACAAAACAAAAAGAAAAAGAAAAAGAAACAACCTATAACAAATGCTGGTGGGTCTGTGGGGAAAAAGGAACTGTTCTCCACTATTGGTGGAGGTGTAGACTGTTGTAACTATTGTGAAAATCAGAGTGGAGATTCCTCAAAAAAATAAAACTAGAGGTTCCATTTGACTCAGCTCTTCCCCTTTTTGGTATCTTTCTGAAAGAATCAAAAGCATACCACAGTGATATATGCACACCCATGTTTATAGAGGCAGTGTGTAACAGCTAAATATTGGAAACACTTGATGAATGGGTAAAGATGATTACAGGAGGGCTGGGGATTTAGCTCAGGGGCACAGCACCTGCCTGGCAAGCACAAGGTCGTGAGTTTGATTCCTGGTACCGGGGAAAAAAAAAAGATGATTACAGGGCTTTTTTTTTTTAATACAATAGAGTACTACTCTGCCATAAAGAAGGATAAACTTGAGATATTTCCAGCTAAATGGATGCACCTTGAGACCATACCCTTAAGTGGAGTAAACCGGACACACATTTAAATACCACATTGTTTCTCTGGTATGATAAACCAAAAGTGTAAATAAGGATCAAAATGTATAATAGATATTGGGAAAAGGGAAGAAAATGTTCAAATGGGAAGGCGAACAAGGGAGTGGGGAGGGAAAAAAGAAGGAACAAGAACAGAAAGAGAATAGAAGGAAAAAATGGAAACAAAGCTTTAGTAAATAAGGAAGGGGAGAGGGGTTGAAGGGAGGGGACAGGAATGGGGGAAAAAAGATGTACCATGTAGAGGTACAATTCCCTATAATGAATGTTATTATTATGTATATCTAAAATGCGCCAGTAGCCAGGCTTCACGGCACTTGCCTATAATCCCAGTACTTGAAAGGCTGAGGCAGGAGCATCTTGACTTCTGGGCCAGTGTGAACTGCACAGTGAAACCCTGTTTTAATACACATGTATTTTTTTGGAGGCGGGGAGGTAATCCCAACACTGGGAGGCTGAGGCAGAAGTATCCCTGCAAGTTCAGGGACAGCCTGGGCTACAAAGTGAGTTCAAGGCCAGTGTTGGGATTACAGGTGTGCACCACCACACCTGGCCTTAAAAAACAAAACAAACTATAAATATACTTTTTTAAAAAAGTAAAACCTTTTTTTTGTGTATGTGATACTGAAGATTGAATCCAAAGTCTTCACATTGAGCTATATTCCCAGCCCTTTCTATTCTTTGAGATAGGGTCTCATTAAATCACTAGGCTGGGCTTGAATTTAGGATCTTTCTGCCTCAATTTCTTGAGTGCTGGAATTACAGGTGGGCAACCACACCCTAGAAAGTATAAAGTCATTCCTAGCTTGTAAACCATATATGAAGGAAGGAATATAGTTTGCTGACCTCTGCTCTGAGAGCTACTCTGAGGTACTCCCTAACATGTCACACTTCCATGCTTTAGATCATATTGTCTCCTGCAAATCCGTTACTCTATTCTTTTTCATTGCCTCTTCTTCCTTGCCCTGAGGGGTCCTTGGCCCCACCTGCCCAGTGGCATCAGTTACATGCCTCCTATGATCCTAGCACACCAAGTGAATAGAGCTGCTCTGGCCCTGGCACAGTTGATTCTGACACCTTCACAGGGAGTCAGGTCTGTTCATCTTTGTACCCATGCACAAAACCAGCCCATAGCAGGTACTCATGATGTGCCAAAGGAAAAGGAAAAGGAAAAGGAAAAGAAAAAAACACAACCCAAATGGGACAAGCCTGGTACACAGTAGCTCCAAACTAACCCAGCAAAACACACACAAGTACCTAAGCTCTCCTGGCAACTAAGAAACCAGTAACTTTCAATCCCTAATATTGTAAAATAAAACGTAAAAGAAAAAGAAACATCCCAGCACTTGGGAGGCTGAGGCAGGAGGATCGCTGAGTTCGAGGCCAGCCAGGGCTACAAAGTGAGCTCAAGGCCAGCCTGAACTGCATAGTGAGACCCTGTCTCAAAAAGACATGAAAAAGAAAAAGAAAAAGGAAAAGAAACTACAGTATGGTAACTCCTCTGTGCCATACAAAGTCTGGTTGGCTTTGTTCCTCACCTGAACACTGAGGCCTTCAGCCTCACATGCAGAGTAGAGAAGCGATCAGCAGGACAGTGTTGCTGGCAATGTGTGGAGACCACTACAGATGTATTAAATTCTTTTTTCTGTTTCCTCCAATAAGGGGTATTATGATGGCTCTCTGGCAAAAGATGTAGTGAAAGAGGGAAAGAAAGTATGTATGTGGACTACAATTAGGTTAACTGAAAAAAAGAAATATGTAAAAAGAAAAAGTAGAGGGAAACATCCATACAGTATTATTTGCTATAGGGGTTATCTTGCCTTTTCTTTACTAGAATTGTGATTAATTTCATTCATTCATTCATTTTGCACTCTGACTCCCTCCCATCAACTGCTTTTAAAATTCAAAAACAAAAATAGAAACTTGTTATTAAAGAAATTCACAATGCTAATGACAACTTGGCAGAGAATCTATCCTGATCCAAAACTGAAGCAAAAGTACTTATACATGTTGCTAACGAGCCAGAATTCAAGCTAAGAAGTGAACTGTGCAGCTGGACATGG